ACACTTACATAGATGACCTCCTATTAGAAGTATTCCGCCCTACTCCACTTGACATAATCAAGATATATGAATCATTAAAAGAGTATCTTAACCTCTAATCATTCTGCAGAAAGTACTTTAATATCATAGGAATGAGTTATGAAACATTTTCCCCAATACTTCATTGAATTTTCATAACTTAGTTGTCCTCTTGAATCAAGATCTTGAGATCTCTAGTCAACAAGATAGGGTTACCATTACAAAAATTGTTACATAGTAAGCTTTAATCACATTCACCTCGATACGCAGTATACTTGATCTCTTGATAATCTTTTCTTAGCGAATCCACGAGTTTGCACCATTTGAGATCAATTGCTTTGCAGTATTATGTCTATGACGAATATGTTTAGACTTACCATTATGATTGACTATGCATCTTATTAAATATAGCTATCTATCACAATCGATTCATTTAATATATACACATTGTCACCAACTAAGAAATCCTCTTATGAAGTTACATGCTTCTCACTAGCTTTATCTAAAGCTTCATTAATTTCCGAACATGGTTGGAGGATTTCTATCAAATCATTACACTAGTTAATCACTTTTATTAGTGGATTTCATACATGGTTATTCAATTTTCAAAATTGAACTATTACAGTGCATTTATGAATATTCGTCAAATATTCCAATTTGCATATCCGAACAACCGCCACAATTGGATTTCTTCCAATTTTATCCACTTTAGATTTAGTGTACGTCAGATTGTGATCCATCCTCAAACTTCTAAAATAGTATAAGGACTTTCTACCTTTTTACTTCATAGACATTCTTCTATGATTTATAAGGTGTATGGAATATGATTTGAGAGACAAGCTACCCCCCACAATTCCTCAATTAGGAATGAATATGCAATCTAGTAATGATGTATCCACAAGTTTTGAACTTCTCATACAAGTTCGCAAGTATTATTTAACCCCCCCACCCACATTCTTGCATTATACTTGAACTTAGAGTTTATAAACTCTTTCAAAGTCCAATTCATCTATTAAATAGATAATGCTATGTGAAAGTCTAAGAACTTTCAATTTAGTGGTCATCAATTCATACTTCTGTATTTCAATCAAATTCTCTTATAAGAACAATTTTCTTTCTAAAAAGAATTACACAATCTATGCAGACCATAGTTTTTATCCTTCACAAATGGATGTCCTTTTACAATCATCATCCTGCAAATATTCGGCGTCATTGCCAACTATAGACAGCGTCTATGCCTTAGGAAATATTCCTAACGATTAGGGTAATCATATAAATTTGCCATCAAATTTTATCTACAAACTTGGTCCGCAAACTAGGTCATTTTGACCAAAAAAAAATGAGTTCGAAATCCAAACACTTGTGTGGGTATAAATTGGAAAGGAACCCCATTTAACCATATGGGTGGACATTAGAATATACCTCATCGTGTGAGTAATATATTCAAATATTCTCCAACAAAAGGAACATACAATTATCTACATGCACGTGCACTTTGTTCAAAATAGAATAAACATTTGCATG